ACTACTACCACTACTACCACTACTACCACTACTACCACTACTACCACGACTACCACTAGCATTAGTACTAACAATTACTAATAGCAGTACCACCAGTGCCGGTACTGGCTTGTTGTTTTGGAGCGGGTGGTCAAAAGACAACGGCGGGGCTGCAGCCTTTGTGTATGTGAGGGGTAGAGACAAAGTAAGAAGATTCGTCCTGACTCCTGACGGGGCTGCAGTTCTTGTTTGTAACTTGTTGTTGCTCTTGCCTCTGCAAGGCAAGTCCAACCTGGACATAGAAAATGGTTTGTGTCACCACATGCTAATGAAATCACATCAGAAGAACTGAATCACATGGAAATTGAGATTGACAGCAATCACATCATAAGTTCGCTGCTGATGAACAACCCCCAGTACAGAGATGTAGAACCATCCTGATAAAGTCACGGAAACGCGTAACGTCCGATAGCTAGGCCACAAATAACCAGCTGAACAAAGTGAGCCAAGCCGAACACACCATCTTCTGACAATTTCCTGGTGAGACGTTTTGTTTTGAACATTGAAAGGGCCACGTGCCTTCGAGGTGGCAAAAATCGAAAGTGGTCCATTTGCCTTTACACTGATCGCACGGGTCAGCCTACCGCTTACACTTGACCAATTTTGTCCACTTCCATGTTTGTTGCAGGGAAAGTAATCAATAAACAATAGGTGTGGCCCACACATCGCCACAGACTTTGGTGCTGTGCCGCCCGACTGACAGCACCACAAGTCTTTTGTGTGTATGCGCGTCGCCCGTCGCTTGTCATGATCATGATATCTCCAATGAGGATCTCTACCATAATGTTTGATGTTTCATCCTCATAAACGTTTGTGGGGATGATATTTTCCCAAAATTCAATGCCGTCCCTCCAATGCTCACACCGCTTCCACTTCGCAGGCGCTGGTGGCCGCGGTCGGACTGCGCACAGGGCACTCCTTCAGAGGGACCGCTTTTCTGGAAGCCACCGGCACAGGCGAAAGAGCCGTTCGACGTCGCCGACACGCGCAGAGACTTCGCCACTTCGTTGAGAGTTCGTTCGCACGGATGACGTACGAGAACGGACTGGTTGCACGAACTTGTCCACGCGGCAGAATCAGATCAATTAGTATAATTAACAAGAAAAGTAGTTTGACCCTAGGGGCATTAAAAAAGAACAACAATAAAAATAACTAGGATATATAACAACTATCAAACACCTATCTAGATAATACATATATATATATAAAAGCTAGGCTTACAAAAGCTGGTTCAAACCGTTAGCAGACATCTCCGATGTAAAGACATCTCCGATGCAAAAGTCCCAAGAAAAGCAGCTGGTAGAACAAATGAAAACACCTAACATGCACGGCACATGGCTGAGCCAAACGGTTTTAACCAACAAAAACGCCACGAGCGAGGCCTTCTTCCCATCATCTCTGATCAGAACCTTGGATGCCAAGGCAAGACAAGCTGAGAATCAGAATGGGTAATGGATATTTATGGTGATGCTATAGCTGACGTTTTCAAGGGTTTTTGTGAATTCCTTTGATTCACCGAAGTGTTTTTTGGAAATACGGAGTATTGGAGGAGTTGCACACATCCCTGTGAAGGCATCTATTTGAAGGCATTTCTTGAATCAATATCGTTGAGGTCGGGGCAAACTCTAAGACTGCCAGTCGTATTCCGTTTAACCCAGACATGTGATTTTCATATGTGTTTATCATGTTCAAGACAAGATCGATAACACTGATAGGTCCAAAACACAACAGATCTCATGTGCCAGGAGTCGTTTTGGGTAGTGCACACAGCACAGGTGAAGTCACAGGTGACTGTTTGCTGATTGAGAGCAGTCCGCCCACAGACTTTTCTGACAAGAGGGGTTGCTAAGCACTTAACATACTGTAGCACCATGTAGCACCCAAGCAGGATGCATGCGCGAGACATTTTCTCAGGTTGCTATTGAAAAAAGGCGCTGTGAGATGCACAGTTTTCGGGCAGTCCTCAGGCAGTCCAGGAACGAATCGACCCCTATGGACCCCCTCCGTAGCGAACATGTCATCAGTTGGTGTGGATGAGGATGAGACGAATGAGCAAATCGTTCATTGGGGATGATTGGCAAGGCTTGGTAGAGGTTTTGAACATGCAAGGTATGGGTACACGGACTCCGCACCCGCATCGCTTGTTCTTGGCTACTCGGAACTTCTAGAGTGACTCCAGCAGAAGCCTGCTACCTCAGCTAAACCTCCAGTGTCGAGGTTTGATCTCTTCAAGGACATCGTCTTCGCAGGCTTTTGTTTCCAGTCTCATAGTCTTCTCGTGCAGTTCTTGGCGCCCTGCAGTCCCTTGGAAGAACGTGACGGAACGGGTGACGGAACGCGACGGGACGGAAGGTCCAACGCTGTACATTCCTATTCCACAACTTCCAATGACTCATGAACTGCTGGGGCTGCTGGGGTAGAACTGATCACTTTTGGACTCCTAAGGTTGAACTGCCGCGTAGTGCGAAGCCGCATAGCTTGCGTGTAGCCTTGTGTTGGTGTTTGGATGTGTTTGGAGGGTAACAAACATGGCTCACCATCACTCACTATCTTCGCCTTCTTGAGGTTCAATTGCGGCAAAACAAGAACAACAGGATCCAGGCCATTCTTCAGGCTATTGGAGGTCATTTGTTTGCATGTTGTTCTCATGGTGTAGCGGACATGCCTTTGAACCAGCTGGATCCTGCTTGCTCCATCGCGTCTTTGTCCTCCGCGCTTGCTCCCCTCACCGGACAGTTTGCCACCACAAACTTTGCGCGTCTCGGTGTGGCGACTTCGAACTCTGTGATGTGTTCCGTTCGGTGGCATTTTGTTGCGTGGCACTGTCGCGTTGTTTGTTGTTCGCTACTGTCACCGGTGTCACCGGAAGTGGACAGATGGAAAAGACCTTGGATTCCACACGTGTTGCATCGTGGTGCGGACTTAAATGCAAAGCTTTGTGAAATTTATGTCGAGACGTTTCACTTCAGAATGGGATTGCATCGGTCTGGATGATCAGAGGTGAGATATCAATTCCATTAGATTCCATAGAAACCGACCAGGGGAGGTCAGAGAATCATCAGAATACCCCAAGAATCCAACCCCCCAGACTTCCGGCCATAGGACCATGCTCATAAATAAGTCCACACCTCCTCCCAATCTTCATGAGATTCGTAGCAGCTGAGCAGCTGAGTGATGAACTGAGCTGATCTTAGGCTTGGCATACTCTCTTCTGATCCACGTGTACTTCATTTGCGACGATTCTGCCGCCTGGGTGTAGATGCCTTGTGTGGGTGCGGATTTGGTTTAGACTGTGGAAGGGGTGGGCATACAGCCACACATATAGTAGACTCTGGTTGGTGCGCTTGATCACGAAGTAGGGTCAAAAGCGGCCGCACACGCATACTTCCGACTAAAGCTGGGAAGGATTCATTGGCAGTAAGAATTCCCAGTGCGTTGGTCCTTTACCGTCACGGCCAATAGACCGTGGCTGAAGAAAGGTAAGGCCAAAAGTCCGAGAACCGTAAGATGTAAAAATAAAAGAACAGAGAAACGCAGGTATGTGGAATTGCGTCTCACTTCCACATGCTTTCAGGCATATCGCCAGCTTCATTGACCAGGTCACCCTGCCCAGTTTGCTGCATTTGTACACCGATGATCATCGTGATGAAATAGAATGGGAAACAGAACTGTTCTGTTTCCCTGTGTCCCTGTGAACAAGGGTGGGACACACACACAGACACACACACACACACACACACACACACGCAGAAAGCCTAAGATTGGCGCTCCGTCTAGCAGCTAGCAAGGGGATGCGAGGAAGTGTTTGCCAGGAGTGGCCGAAGCTCAGTATTGCCGGAGCTTTGGCTGGTAAATTCGTGCAAGTAAGCGACTGCTCCATGCATCAACGCTGAAATCAAAACGCTTAACTTAACTGCGAAGATGCATACATGCCAAGTCAAACAGTCAGTAGGAAGCAGAGTGAAGTAGAAGATGGATGTGCAAGAACGCGTGGGAAGATTGTTTCTCACGCTGAAGACTGCTGAACAAAGTTGATGGTGTGAAACTGGGAAACCAACAATGCTCTCTCTTTCTTTGCTTGGTGGTTGATGGAACATGTGTAGAAAGTTGGTGCGGAAAAGGTTGCGGTGGAATAAAGTGGTGTAATGTATTGTTGGTGTGACCCTGCTGAGGGCACTGGGCAGGGCAACAGTGTGTGTGTGTGACCGTAGAGTTTTCCCACGAGGAATTGAAGCGTCAACCGCATGAACAAAGTGGATCGATTGTACCAACAAATTGACTGCGCCTAAGCTGAACAATGTTCAAAAACGCCAGACATCTGAGAGTGAAGCATAGACTCATGGCAGCCGACACTTTCCATTGAGTATATTAAACATCAGTGATGTGGGGACCAGAGGAGAAGCAGTGAAAACACATCAGAGTAAAACTCAGAAGGAACCATTGGCAGTAAAAAATCTGGAGTGCACTAACCTAGACCTTGGCTGAAGAAAGATAAGGCAAAAAGTCCAAGAACAGTACTGTTCAGATAAACCCTAGGGCTCCGAACGTCTCATATCCTGAGGTTCAGTCCCGAAAACTGACTGCTGTTGGATCGCTCTTTTGAACTTCACCATGTTCATCAGAACGGCGCCAACGAAAAGCGTGTTCAGCGCTCCCAAAGTGTTTGCCCACGTGTTTGTCCCACGTCCTACGTCCCACGTCCCACGTCCCATGGAATCCGAGGTTTTGGCGGAACTGTCTCAGTGCTACATCCCTCTCCTCTTGCTACGCTCCAGCCCACCGAGCATCGACGTGGAGGTCGCGGAGGATGGAAACACGGTCGCCTGCAGCGTGTGGCCGATCTTCTACCGGCAGACCACGCCAACCAAGCGTTGGGTGCTGCTTTTAGAGCCTTGAATGCAATCGAGTCGTCGTGAGTCGTCACTATACATCGTGTTTTCTCCGTTTTGGCCCTCCAAAACGGTGATTCCGGAAGAGATGGAGCCGATTCCGAACGCTGAAGTTGAAACTTCCATTGAAAGAGTTGAGTGAGCGGGTAAGAACAAACACTTGTCAAGGAAGCTTGGTAGCGATGCCTGACAAATTGAGGTCCTGATTGTAGATTGTTAAAAAACTGTTGTATTCGTGAATCACACTCCCTCCAACAAAGATGGAAGTACATGCGAGGTGGACAATCCCCTACTTATAGAGGAAGACCCATGTTCAACTTCCATGATTGTTGGAGGGAGGGTAGGAACCTGTAAGTCTAAGGCTTTGTAGTCAGCGGTTCTTGAGGGTTGGGAAGGGTTTGAGGTGGGTACACGTAGGTATGAGATGGATCTGTATCAAAGTATAAGAGGAATCATGAATGATGAGAACAGGGTTGCAAATGTACTCTGTATCCAAGTCCGGAGAACATACGTAACACCATTTACCTGGCCAAGTGCCAAGCCTTTCGATGCCGAAATCTGCATCTGTCTTAAGAGGAAATAATTCTTTGTGTCACAGTGTGTGGACTAGCTAATACTTTGCTATATATACACTTTTTGGTTGCTTCCCTCTTGGGCGTACGGATGCTCGGGAAACATGAAAGAAGATAGCTGGCTTGAACGTCACACTGCCGCACCTCGCTGGTCCCATCCGCGTCTCGCTGAACCCCTCATCTCATCCCTCAGGAGAATCTGCCGCAGTGCGTCCTCGCTGCCGTCTTTCTCAAGCTTCAGGGAGTCTCACTGCTTGTGGCGACACCTGACAGGCTTTCATTGGACCCAACTCGGGTGGGGGGCTTTCGTTCAGTTCGCAGAGTTCGAAGAAGTTGGACCAAGAAGAACCTGAAATTGAAGAACCGAACAGAAGAGCGTCCCCATATACAATTATCCCCCCCAAGAAAATGGCTTCGAACCCCAAACGTGAAGAAAACGAAGAGATCGTCCAAGGTCCTCGTCCACGGTCGTCCCAAAGCATGCGCCAGAGGTGGAGTTGGTTCCAGGCGCCCGACCCTTTGAGAGGTGTGACCAGCTGATCGCCCTGCCAGACCAATCAGTCCGTTTAGAACCTCCCAAACAGCAGGGAACAAGTCATCCAAAGTGTCATACTTGAGACCGAACAGCAGCATTCATCGACTCAATGAAGCGAGGAGTTCACAAGGATGCATAGGATTCCATGTATTACACATACATACATACATACATACATACGTACATACATACATACATACGTACATACATACATATATGTTTGTGTATCCCCATTTAGAATATCCACTACAGAATGGATGGCCATGTGGCCAGTATAAATCTGGATTTTACTTAATTTTGAGGGTCCCTGGGAGGGGCTGGGGCCTTTCAATTTGTAGACCTGTGATGTTTAATTCCCGGGGAATGTAAAAACAGAGCCTTGGCCACCGGCATTTTGTATAAGGCTTTTCTTTACATGGTTCGAAGCACTCCGGGGTAGGCCAGTCATTGTAGTGAAGCCAATCGAGTGAAACACATTTTGTAGTAACCTGATTTTGGTAACATCATGTGAGAGTTTGTAAAACTGGTTGGACATGGTTAGACCCATTTGGGCTCAGAGGGCGCAAAATGAGATCAAAGATTATCAACGAACAAACGAGAATGTTAAAACATCAAGGAACAAATACGTTCCAAAGAACACGTCAATTATGGCAGTCACCAGTGAGTGCACTACAAAATGCAAAGCCAGGGTTTATAGTCTACCATTTTGGAAAGCTTTAGGTTAGACCCTCCATTTTGTAGTGTACTTTTCCCTTTCTCTGTCGATGATAGTTTTTTCCTTCAGCCATTGCATTCTATATTGAGTGTTCTCGGTCTCTTTGCATTTTTTGTTGCCAAACTCTGCCCCCCCAAAATCATTGCTACAAAATGGAGGCCCACCGTCTCCATGAGTATTTGAAGGGGGATGTTTGTGTTTAAATAGACCCCGAAATAGATAGGACAGTAGATCCCAGTACAAATGTATCGGACACCCGTCAATCTATCTATTTGGGGATCACTATATATACCTACTACATTGACCCCTTTGCACTCCCCCAATGAACCCGTGTGGACCGTGTGGTGTTCACCAGAAACGACCAACGGCCCTGCCGAGGATTCTGAACCTGCTTTGTCACTTGGTACATCTTGGCACGCGTGTGGAGCGCGCCGGCGTGTTTGCAGCGGACCGACCTGAAAGGACCGACCTAAAAGTGAAAACAGTTGCATTGGTTTAAAACTGTGACCAGTTTTCCGAAGTGTTTTGCTTTGCCTTCTCTCAAACATGGACAGCATTGATTGGCTGCCTTTGCCACTGGTTTGCGTTGCCCCTACAAACAGCAAGCTCTACTGAAGCAACTACAGTCAATCGTTTGTGTGAAATCCTTTGGAGGGATACCTCAAGAAATGGGTTTGGTTCGAGATGAGGGGATGCCGGCCAAACCTCTTCATAGAGCTACTGAAAAGGGCCCTCTTCATTGCCTGTCACCCTTCTCAGATTTCTTGTCAGATCTCCCAAAAAGCCCAGCAAGCCATCTCCAAATCCAGAGCTCATGCGCTTCATTGATTTATTGTTTGGTAGAGGCCCCCAAGGGAACATCAATGAATTTGGTTCCAGGACTCCTGAAGAGGACTTGACAGGAGACTTACTGTTCAAGTGTGTTTTGTCGAAACCAACACCAAAAGTCAAGGCCTGCAGGTCTTTTTCCAAAAAGCAAAAACCAGCAGCGAGCAAAACCTCCAGGATAAGCAGTACGGATGCAGTCTTAAATCCCTTATCGCAAAACTATCTAACAACACTTCAATTTCACCTCAACTCATTTCAAACTTCACCAAATAACCAGCCACACTTTGCTTTGCTTCATTTCTTCCCAAAAGGAAACGCGTGGCGGCCCTTTTCTTCCACGCTTGGCGTCCAAGGCCCTGTGCTTCAGCTCTCCTTGGCCTTTCTCCTCTTCCACCCGCTGCGACGCGCCTCGGGGCCCTTCTTGGGACATCGTGTGGCGCGTGCCTTGCAGGACCACGATTGCCACTATGCGCAACGTTTGTGGGAGGAGGCCGAGTGAGACAGGTCGGTGGACGAAGAGGGTTTTTTAGAGACCAGTGTGAAGAAGGTGGATGAGAAAAATGGCGAGGCTGTATGAGAAGATAGAAAGAGAGATGTTGGTGTTTTGTTCGAGAGTCTTTTGTGGGGATTCTATAGAATCTATAGAATTGTTTGGCAGCTCGATGAAGAATTCACTTTTGAAGTAGAAGCTGTTCCTCCCCCCAGTGAGGTCACCGTGTCCACCTATCGATTAAGTGGATGCAAGTGTGGATGGAGGTCGACCCACCGTTTTCATATTTCGGATCTCAGGGTGTCCAAGTCCGGGCTGACCGATGGGTCGCCCGATCAAAAACAAGTGGTGTGGTTTGGGTGCTTTGGGATCCTTTGCCCGATCGTATGCAGAGCTGATTTAGACCTCAGAGCTCTTGGGAAGGTCAAGGAACAAAAAGGAGGACACCGCACATGCCATGCAGGCCGAGGCTGAGAAGGACTTGGACTTGTTCAAGGCCATGTTGCCGGAAATCCGTCAACTCCGACAAGCCTTCCAACTGCAGGCAGCGGTTTTCTCTGTGCATGCTACTGCTTCCTTTGGAGTAAAGATCCTATACGTATGATTTAATGACCCCACCATGAAACACAGAACAGATATCTCTTACACCGCAGCATTGGGCTTGTGTATATATATACACATATACTTACTACTTATTTACGAATGAGTAAGAGATTGAAAGGGTTAATATGAAAGGATTAACCGTTTTGCATCGCTTCCATCAGGAGATACGTACATTGAGTCGGTAGATATCCCTTCTACATTCATTGATGTATCCTGCTAGCTGGGATTGCCCGTCCGTGCAATCCCCGTCCGTGCAATCCACGTGGATTGCACGGACCATGGTGGGCCATGAAGGGTGGATCTCATGATCGCATAAGGCGCTCATAAGCACCACCAATAAGCACCTCTTTGAGATTATTTACACCCTGCGGGTTGTTCCGCCGGCCTTTTCAGCCAATGGTCCCAAGATGCGGATTACCGTTTGCGTCAAGAGGAAAGACTGCAACAGAGCAGAAAAAGTAACAGCATCATCCAGAACACAGCTGGAGCAACAGAGGAGCCTACATGAAATGACGTGCATTATGATACAATAAGAGAACAGGGAGATGAAATTGGGGGATGCAAAGTATAGCCTGCCAAGCAAGAAGACAAATTATATGACATGTGACACAATGAGCGAAGTAGACCGTGCGAAGCAGCAAACGTACATAGCATTCCGTCAGACATGATACAAGAGAGTAATGAGGACATGTGTGGCATGGGGATTTCCAAGCAGTCTGAGTCTGCAAAAAACGGTAGATACGTGAGTGCAGGTGCAAAACCTGAGAAAAACGCATGCAAAGCAGAAGCGCAATGCATGGACAACGACAAGAGAAGAACGACGATAAGAAGGAAGCGCACACAACCTTTCACTTTAGCTATGATATATGTGAGCTGGGGGGAGGGGGGGTCAAGTTAGACGAGGCAAAAACTTGCTCCAGAGAGACTTTTCTTATTACATATAGATTCAACATAACTCAAGCTACATACAAGCCACATTGATAAAACACGCCGGCGCCCAAGGGCCGGCGGATTAGAGTGTTTTTCCTCTAGATGTTCTCAGTATTAATATGAACTATTTTGAATAAAGTTCCTATATATATAGATCAGTGGTTTTGGTACGTTTGATTGGATATGTTCTTCAATCGATGCAGAAAGCGAAAAGCTAACTGGGTTTCCCAGTTCCCACAGCTGCAGGTCGACTCCCCAGGCATATCCTCCAGCATCTGAGAATATTGAGCCCGTGCTCTTCCTTGTGGAAAAAGAGTCCCCGTAGGGGAGGGTAGTCCATAGATGGAAAAAACTAGAGGTTGTTTGTTGGATTCATGCTCTATTTCGCAACTCTGCCAGCCTGCTTCTATTGCCTTGAATCTTGAACTTGGAGACATGAGAGATCAGACATCATCAGACATCTAGAATCAGATACTTTGAGATGAACTGAACTTCTTTGCTCCCATAGGGTCCCCCATCCGCTCCCAGCCTCCAGGTGGGGGAGCCGCTCAGCGAGGACAGCTTGCTGCTGATCCGCGAGTGGTGGCCGGTCCTGGTGGAGCAAACCACTGAGGCCGGGGCCGGGCCACCAGTCTTGTGGCGGACATTTTGGGATACCTGGGGGGGTGTGGAGGGGTGGAAAAGGAGCATGGAGCAGCAGAAAGGCTGAAAGTGACATGATTTTAAGGAAATTGCTGCAAGTTCAGATGGATGTTCATTGAGGCTCTATTGGACTGTTCCGGCGGTTCGAGGTCGAGTCCGACGTTTGTGTGCGTGTGATTTGGAGGCTTCGAGACGGCCACCCTTTCAGGGTGGGTCAGCATTGGTCCGCCCACATGGGGTAGATATTTACGCTTCAAGCAGCTATGCGGTACTAGCCGGTAGCCTACGTGTTACAAACAAACCCGGAATCTGAAATTGGGAAGCTTATTGAGATGCTTTGAGGTGTTGGGATCCCTGTGTTTCGGTGTTGGGTCCAACCCCATGGCTTCAAGGCCAGTCCTCCACAGGTGAGCCTCTACGGACACGACCTGCAGGCTGACGGCGCCAAGGCGCACGCATGCGCACGTACGCACATGCACGCGCACGCGTCTGGAAGTAGAACTGAGTTCGACCCTCTCAGCATCTCGTAGTTTCGAAATTAGGTTGGATATGACTCCTGCATATTTCAGGGAGACAAGTTTAAGAGTTTGAAAGGCTACAGCATTGGTAAGCTTTTCCATCGTTATTGTAGCGATCCAAGCCAATGCATCTTCCCACGGCGCTTTCATGGATCGACTGCGAAAAGTAGGATTCTCCCTGTCGTCCTGGAGGATTCTCCCTTCCCAGACCCGTGGGACCTCCGTATTGACCCTTGTTCACCATTTTTCGGGCCCCCCAATGTCAAATATGTCCGATCCCAGATCGCTCATATTGTCGGCCTTGTATCGCCGGCTCTCGTTCTCTCAGGTTCTCTCCAAGGCGCTCGAGGTGAATCGATCGCTGCAGAAGTTGAGCCTCGTGGGGAACGCCTTGAGCGACTTCGGAGTCCAGGCGCGGCGGAGCAATCTGGAGCCTGGTGAAGAGGCTCCTTGCATGCGTGTGTGTGTTTTTGTTGGTTTAAGTTGCATGATGTTGAGATATATTTATTGCAGCTATATGCAGCTATAGCTTTGTCCACTATTGACTTTTGTGCAAACAATATACAATGAGTGCAGGTCTACTTCCGGAAATGCTTGTGAAGAGATGAAATATCAAAGACATTTCACTTGGACGAATATCTCTGAATCCGATAGGGGTCGGTCTCAGAGTAAGGACGAGCGGACAACTATGTTTTAGACCATGTCATGATATGTCATGTATTGTTTTTGAAAAGGAACGTATTGCCTTGTTTGAACAACCATGGTGGAAAGGCCCTGCTTTTGAACATGTTTGTTTGTTTTTGTTTGTTTGTTTGTATGTTTTTGTTTGTTTGTGTGTTTGTTTGTGTGTTTGTTTGTTTGTTTGCTTGTTTTAATCATGACCTTTCCCCCATGTGTTCCACTCACGCGATTCTACAACAGTTTGAGGACCTTTCTTTGCAACAGGGTGAGCCGCAAAGTCGTCAGGTGTTGGCCTCAGCAGCAAAGAGTTCAGTCCTGGAGGAACTGTACGTGGCAGCGCTGAAGAACAAAGAGAAGAGCAAGGCCATTCTGCAACTGCTGCTGCTGGTGGTGGGACGCCTGCGTCATATATTACATCGCAATATCAGAGATCTTGTTTCACCATGTTTCACCAATTCCATTCGTTTCCAAGAGGAAGATTTATACTTGTGCGGTTCTTATCGAAGTTCAATTAAGCATGTCTTGCACAGATTACTCAAAAGGAGCATAAAGGAGCGGCTGGTTGATTAAGCAGGCACGTTGCCCTGATTTACCATATATTGTTGAAAATGCGCATATCTCCGGCTAGCTGGGCTGCTATTTCAGGACCTTGTGAGTTTTTACTTTCAAGGATATATGTTGTGCCTCCCGCTCTTTCCAAATCCTTCGCATCATTGGCGCACCATTAGTCTCGCGTCCTCCTTGTCACCACCGATCACCACTGCTTGTCACCACTGCGACCGTTCGCGCTCTTCATGACCTGGTGCTGCCACCCTCACCAGGCTTTGGCGCAGTTCATGGCTGGGAAGAGTCGCCAGAACGATCTGGACCTCAAGGAGTGCCTCTCGAATCCCATCGCCAAGGTGGGGAGAGCGGCACAGTTTGTGCAGTTTTTCTGGCTTGGTCCTTTTCTTTTTTCCACGGCTACATACATAAAACAGCTATATATTATAAATGCC